CCACCAACGATAGAATTGAGCCAAACCTCCCACACAGAATCCCCATGTGGGCCACAGCAACGCATGGCAGGGGACGGCTAGTATAAAATATATAATTATAATTTATTAGTAGTAGTATTATATTGTATTGCATTATAATATTCTCGATATTATATGTATATACAATATATTATATTATATTATATTAATTATAAGCACAGTGCAGGAAGCAAGATGGAACTGCCTTCCTGGCCCCTCTCTTCACTCAGATCTCAGAGTAGCGGTTGATACTTACTGATAATGTGTTGTCTTATTGATAATGTTATATGTTTATCGTTTATGTTTTATTTTAATTGCTTGTATTGTTGTGATTATTGCCTGTATTGTTGTGTTTGGGCTCAGCCTCATGTAAGCCGCACCGAGTCCCTTGGGGAGATGGTAGTGGGGTACAAATAAAGTGTTATTATTATTATTATTATTATTATTATTATTATGCTGGAGGGGGTGTCTGCCTTTATAATGTGAATATTATGTTTCGTCATGAGTTCCAGTAATGAGCCCCCGGTGGCGCAGTGGGTTAAACCCCTGTGCCGGCAGGACTGAAGACCGACAGGTTGCAGGTTCGAATCCGGGGAGAGGTGGATGAGCTCCCTCTATCAGCTCCAGCTCCTCATGCGGAGACATGAGAGAAGCCTCCCACAAGGATGGTAAAACATCAAATCATCCTAGCGTCCCCTGGGCAACGTCCTTGCAGATGGCCAATTCTCTCACACCAGAAGCGACTTGCAGTTTCTCAAGTCGCTCCTGACACGACTATATATATATATATATATATATATATATATATATAATTAGTAATAGTATTATATTGTATTACATTATAATATTCTTAATATTATATGTATATACAATATATTATATTATATTATATTATATTATATATTATAAGGACAGTGCAGGAAGCAAGATGGAACTGCCTTCATGACCCCTCTCTTCACTCTGATCTCAGAGCAGCGGTTGATGCTGGAGGGGGTGTCTGCCTTTATAATGTAAATATTGTATTTAGTCATGAGTTCCATCTTCACCAGATCTGGGCCAACTTGGGCCCTCCAGGGGTTTTGGGCTCCAAATCCCATCATAGGAATAGTGGGAGCTGAAGTCCAAAACCCCTGGAGGGCCCAAGTTGGCCTAGCCCTGCTCTATACTGTAATCCCACGTGAACTGCCAAGGCTCAATGCGATGGAAGAACGGGATCCGCCTCACCCGGCCGAGCGCCTCGACTTCCTGGGGCAGCCGGCGCAGCCGATTCCCTTTCAGGTTCAGCCTCTCCAGGCCGCTCATCCTCCCCAGGCCCCGGGGCAAGTGGGGCAGCCTCTGCGCCGCCATCGAGAAAGAGCGCGTCCCTGGCCCGCCCCGCAGCGCTCGTAACAGCTGCTTGTCCGCCATTGCTGCCGGCCGGGCGCCATGGAAACCGCTGCGCTAAACAAGGCCGCTTTGCCGCCGCCGTCGTCATGGAAACGACGCTGGAATCGCCTTCTGACTACGGTATCCCGGAGGAGGCTAAAAGGACGCGCGCGGGGAAGCAAACCACCAGGCAGGCTCTGACTTAAGCTTCCAATCCAAACATCTGATGACCTCCAATGTATGAATCTCTTAGCCTATTTACCTGGTTGCCTAGTGGTTATTGGCACCACTGTGGTTTTTTAATCCTATTTGTAATAATTTTCATTGGAGGTAGTCATGCAAAGCTGGGGTGAAAATTGCTGGAAGAAACATTAACAACCTCAGATATGCAGATGACACCACTCTGATGGCCAAAAGAGAGGAGGAGCTGAGGAGCCTTCTAATCAAGGTGAAAGAAGAAAGCGCAAAAGCCGGGTTGCAGCTAAACATCAAAAAAACCAAGATTATGGCAACAAGAATGATTGACAACTGGAAAATAGAGGGAGAAAAGTGGAGGCCGTGACAGACTTTGTATTTCTAGGTGCAAAGATTACTGCAGATGCAGACTGTGGCCAGGAAATCAGAAGACGCTTACTTCTTGGGAGGAGAGCATTGTCCAATCTCGATAAAATAGTAAAGAGTAGAGACATCACACTGGCAACAAAGATCCGCATAGTCAAAGCCATGGTATTCCCTGTAGTAACCTACGGATGTGAGAGCTGGACCTTAGGGAAGGCTGAGCGAAGGAAGATCGATGCTTTTGAGCTGTGGTGTTGGAGGAAAGTTCTGAGAGTGCCTTGGATTGCGAGAAGATCCAACCAGTCCATCCTCCAGGAAATAAAGCCCGACTGCTCATTGGAGGGAAGGATACTAGAGACAAAGCTGAAGTACTTTGGCCACATCATGAGGAGACAGCAAAGCCTAGAGAAGACAATTATGCTGGGGAAAGTGGAAGGCAAAAGGAAGAGGGGGCCGACCAAGGGCAAGATGGATGGATGGCATCCTTGAAGTGACTGGACTGACCTTGAAGGAGCTGGGGGTGGTGACGGCCGACAGGGAGCTCTGGCGTAGGCTGGTCCATGAGGTCATGAAGAGTCGGAGACGACTGAACGAATGAACAACAACAAGTCATCGCTTATAGTGAACACCTGCTCATATATAGACTCCAAAGGATTGCCTTGTAGTGCAGAGCCATATAGACAAAGCCATACTATAGACGAGGCATCATCATCATCATCATCATCATCATCTATATAAATAAAAATGTAATGTTCGTTTGTGGGATTAGCAGAACTCAAAAACCACTGGGGGAATTGACACCAAATTTGGACACAAGACACCTAACAACCCAATGTATGTCCTTCACTCATAAAAACACTGAAAAATGCAGCAGAAGGGACTTAAAAAGCCCCCAAAAGCTAAATGACAAAAAAGCTAAACGACAATACAGAAAAAAGGGAAGAAAGAGGGAGGGCAGGGGAGAAAACGAAAGAAAGAAAGAAAGAAAGAAAGAAAGAAAGAAAGAAAGAAAGAAAGAAAGAAAGAAAGGAAAGAAAAGAAAGAGGAAGGGAAAGAAAGAAGGAAGGAAGGAAACGGATAAGGAAGCATGGAAGCAAAGAGAAGGAAGGAAGGAAGTAGAGAAGGAGAAAGGAGAAAAAGAGGAAGGGAAAGAAAAAGGGGGAAGGAAGGAAAGTTAGAGAAGGAAGGAAGGAGAGAAGGAAAGAAAAAAGGGAAAGAAGGAAGGAAAGAGGGAGCAAAGGAAGAAGGAGGGAAGGAAAGAGAGAAGGGAGAAAAGACAGCAGAAGAGAAAGAAAAAGGGGAAAGGAAGGAAAGAGAGGAAGGAAGGAAAGAAGGAAAGAGGGAGTGAAGGAAGGAGGGAAAGGAGAGAAAGAGGAAAGGTTGGCCACAGCAATGCATGGAGGGTACAGGTAGTAATAATAATAAAACTTTTTTTATACCCCGCCACCATCTCCCCAAGGGACTCGGAGCGGCTTACATGAGGCCAAGCTCAACAACACATCAATAAAAACAAGCAATAAACAAAATACAATTAATATAACTCACACATAGACAATAACACACAAGGATTTAAAAGCCTATGACCGGGCCAGATTTAATAGTTAAAACTTTAAAAATAAATGCTGGACATGAACAGAGGATACATCTAGTAGGAGGGTTTTAAACCAAAAGTAGAGAGCAACTTAAAGTGCTTCTCAGGCATGGGCAAACTTCAACCCTCCAGGTGTTTTGGACTTCAGTTTGGAAGCTGCGCAGGGGAAATGTTGTTACACAAGTAGATTTTAGTAACTAGTATGGAAACGGTGCTCCATGCCATCATGCCAGCCAAATGATCTTGGAGGTGTCTACAGGCAATGCCGGCTCATCGGCTTAGAAATGGAGATGATCAGCACCACCCAGAGTCGGACTCGACTAGATTTAATGTCAAGGGGAAACCGTTACCTATATGCAATTGTTTCAAAACTATATCCTCTCTTCGAGATCCTTTGGAATTGTACATTTTACGTGCAATGGAACAGTTTTTAATGTTAAGTTCTTGTGGGTTTTTTCGGGCTATAGAGCCATGTTCTAGAGGCATTTCTCCTGACGTTTCCCTCATTACCTCTGAGGATGCTTGCCATAGATGCAGGCGAAACGTCAGGAGAAAATGCCTTGAGAACATGGCCACATAGCCCGAAAAACCCCACAAGAACCTAGTGATTCCAGCCATGAAAGCCTTCGACAGTTTTTAATGTTGTCATTATATAATATCAAGAAATTGGGGAAAAAACAGAGAATGATGCAATAAATAACATGCTAACTGCAGCAAGGTTGTTGATAGCAAGGAACTGGAAAGGTAAAATAAACATACAAATTGAAGAATGGTATAAAGAACTATGAAAATTAGCAATAAACAGTAAGTTGACATGTAGGTTAAAAGTTAGGAAAGGGGTATGGAAGGAAAACAACTTTGATGGGGTTTGGGGGAAATTATTGACAATGGTTTAAAAGAAGTAGATGGGAAACTACCTCCACAAGAAGAAATTGTATTTTCAGCCTTCGGGCTGAAATGGGCGGGAAAGAAAAAGTACCCCCGACAGATGGCCATCCATCCTTTGTTTAAAAGCCTCCAAGGAAGAAGCTTCCACCACACTCTAAGGCAGAGAGTTCCACTGCTGAACACCTCTTACAGCCAGGAAGTTCATCCTGATGTTCATGTGGAATCTCCTTTCCTGTAATTCAAACTCATTGCTCTGAGTCCTAGGGCCCTGCCATGCAGCCATATAACCTAGAATTAGAATATCAAGGCAGATAATCCACAATATCTGCTTTGAACTGGGTTATCAGAGTCCACACTGCCATATGGTTAAGTTCAAGGTGGATTTTTTACAGCGGTGTGGAAGGGACTATGCATCTCCAGGCATGTAGCCAGGGAGGGGGGCTCGGGGGGCTTCAGCCCCCCCCCCCCCAAAATTTTCATGGTGGTTCGCGAAAAGGCCTTACTGGTGCATTATTTAAACTGTTATGTTTATTCATATCATGATCTGATCACCATACTCAATATATCCCATATGCATGGGGGTATTGGGGTAATGATACAAAAGGTTTGCTAGGGTAGACCCTCTTTCACTCAGACTCAGCCCCCCCCAAAACTCAGCCCCCCCCGAAACCCCCCCTGAAAAAAAATTCAGCCCCCCCCCCCCCGAAACGAAATCCTGGCTACGGGCCTGTCTCCAGGGCAGCAGAAAACAAGCTTTCTCCCTCCTCGTGACATTCTTTCACATATCACATCATTAATGTTTCGCCTTTTATAGGGTTTAGGTGCCTATCACTCTAGGCAGAGAAAGTCAAACCCTATGTTTCTCCTTTATGATATAAATGGTGATTTATCATCTTACCACTATTGTATTTTGACTCTTCTCATGTATAAGGCTAGGCTAGCTCTGTCCAACAATCCCATATAAACACTACTGACACAATCTATGTAAGCAATATATATTAGTATGTCTCTTAACTATCTGATATGAAAGCATGCATATCCTCCCCCTCCTCAAAAGGCCCGGGACCACTGCCAGTTTTCCCCCCTTTATTTCCTGGAAACCTGCAGCCAATGGCTCATGGGCCTGCACAATTTAGGAGTAGCGCTGATGCAGACTATTGTTACTATAAATACTGAAACCAATATCTTAAAATATTTTTATCCTCCATGGGCTTCAAAATCTTGAATGTATGAGTTTAGACAATAACCAACTGGGGTAGATGTAGTAGTGGATCTAGATTTAATAATGTATAAGACAACTTTAAATCCCATTAACTCCTGTTAATGTATAATATTAGGTCTAGGAATCTGCCTAGACTTAATATTATATGTTTACTTAGGGTATTATATACACCTTGAAACTAAGGCCCCATCTACACCATCATATACAATCCACATTATCTGCTTTGAACTGGATTATATGGTGGTATAGACTAATATAATCCAGTTCAAAGCAGATAATGTGGAGTATCTGCTTTGAGATTCTAGATTATATGGCAGTGTAGAAGGGTTCTCTTGAGTCTATTCAACATCACTACTTGCATCTGGAAAGTATAGTTTAAAAATCAGCAAGTGTATTGCTCAGTATGTTTATGATGCGTTTTTCAGTTACAGAATGTCTCAATTGATATAATGGTACCAATAATGAATTGGTGAGCATTACAACAACTGCTGTCTTCAAAACAGCATGATGGCTATTTCTTTGATCTCCAGCCAACACAGGATAGCAGCTCCTGTTCTCTTTTCAATGTTAAATTTTCCATTTATTGCAGCAAAACTAAAGAAATTGTATAGGGCCATAGACATAGTAAGAATGATAAAGCGAACCAGGAAAGAATGCTAAAATTGTATAAGGATTTCAGTTTTAAAAAGGTCTAAAAATTCCTAGCAAGTGGTTAAGATACTGATAAGTGTTAAAGAACAGGGCCACACTTTTTTTCCCCCTGGAAATAGTCTGTGCAGCCAATAGTCTTCTCTTGGGTCCTCTGGTTGCTTATAAAAATGAAGGGACAAAATGAAGGGAAAATCACACCCCCAATAAGCCCTGTTTCATCTTTCTAAAGCTCCAAATTCTATCTTTAGACCCTCTGATTAGTCCAACTGGGTTTTTTTTCTTAATAAGATAGGGCAAGCCTCAGAAAAGGAAGAAAAAAAAAGGATAGTGAAATATGGGGCAGGTATGGCTTCTAAACCTTCTGGCC